ACCTGCTGGACTCCGGCGATCCTTCCTCCTCAGCCTTCCAAGTAGCTGGAACTACAGGTGCGCACTACCACACCCAGCTGATTTTTTTATTTATTGTAGAGATGGTCTGTTTCCAAGTTGCCCAGGCGCGGGTCTCGAACCCACAGGCTCTGGCAGTCTACTCACCTCAGCCTCCCAAAGGCTCAGGATTACAGGCTGAACCACCCAGCCCGGCTTCCTCTTTAACCCTTAATGTGACTCTCCTTAGGTTCAGTCTGACCTTTTTTCTTTGTGCTTCTTATTTTTAATTTTTTTTTTTTGAGTCAGAGTCTCCCTGTTGCCCAGATTGGACTGCAGTGGCACAATCACAGCTCACCTCAGTCTTGGCCTTCCACCTCAGCCTCCTGAGTAGCTGGGACTTCAGGCACTCACTCCCACACACCCAGCTAATATTTTATTTATTTATTTTGAGAAAGCAGGATTTAGTGAGAGGTTAGAAAAGCTCCTATGGTGGGAGGGGACCTGAAGGGATTACCCATATTTTATTTTTTGTAGCGATGAGGTCTCACTGTATTGCCCAGGCTGGTTTTAAACTCCTGGGCTCAAGCAATCCTCTTGCCTCGTCCTCCCAAAGTGCTAGGATGATAGGTGTGAGCTACCGCAGCCGGCCTTGTGCTGCTTACTGGTTTTATAAGCAGTCTCTTCCTTAACAGACAACAAACTGCTCAAGAAAAGTATCTCCTTGGTTTTGAATGTTCAGATATTAACGTGATGTATGGCTTATAGTGAGAAGTCAATAAAGTTTGGAAATGAGTGCATTTTCCTTCTCTCTCTCTCTCTCTTTTTTTTTTTTAAGTTGAGGTGAGAGTGCAGTGGCGCACTCATGGCCACTGCAGCCTCGACCTGCTGGGCTCAGGTGATCCTTCCGCCTAAGCCTTCCAATAGCTGGAATTACAGGCATGTGCCACCGTGTCCAGATAACTTTTTGATTTATTGTAGAGATGAGGTCTCGTCAAGTTGCCCAGGCTGGTCTTGAACCCTTGGATTCAGGCAATCTTCTCACCTCCCAAAGTTCTAGGATTATAGGTGTGAGCCACCACTGGGCCTTGCATTTTTAATAGTAAACATTTGTGATAGGTACTTCTACTTTTGTGGGTAGTCAGTTTAGGTTTTTGTATTCTCATAGTCAGCTGTCTCATGCCATGTTGATAAAGTTGAGCAGGATACAATTTTAGGACTAGGTAGCCTTAGCATATATCTCCCTGTGCTCTTAGACGCTAGAGAAACCTGTCATTTTCAATGGTCCTGTCTCAGAGTAGTTATGTGTTCTTTGAATTGCCCCCAACCAATGAAAATACAGATAGATATTCCTTGTCAGAAATACCCTAAGTTGAAAGTGCATCTAATGCCTCAATAAAGCCATTGTAACATTGAAAAGTCGTAAGTCGAAACCATAGTGAGATTGGGGACTTCTGTACTCTAACTTTCTTTCTTTTTGAAGATTTGCCCTGAGGTATTTCAAGGGTACTTTCCCAGTCTTTCAAAGACTCTTCCTGGAGAGTTCAGACGCTAATCCAGTTCGCTACGGGCGCAGGCGCATGAAGCTGCGGGACCTGATGGAAGCAGCTTACAAGTTTCTGCAGCAGGAGCAGTGTGTGTTCCGGGAGCTGTGGGACTGGAGTGTGTGTGTTCCTCTCCTCAGAAGCCATGACACATTGGTTCGCTGGTGCGTCACTCTTAGGCTTTGCTTGTACATCTAGTGTGGGGTGGTAGAAGGCTCTTGTGGAGTTGTGTGTCTGCAGAGAGAAGGGAATCCATTGGAAGTGTTATTTTTGTTCTTGTGGTGTTGGGGTTCTTTTTTTATTTTTTTTTGAGTTGGAGTCTCACTCTGTCACTCAGGCTGGAGTGCAGTGGCATGTTCCTGGCTACCACAGCCTCGACCTGCTGCGATCAGGTGATCGTTCTGCCTCAGCCTTCCAAGTAGCTGGAACTACAGTCGTGTGCTACCATGCCTGGCTAATTTTGATTTATTGTAGAGATGAGGTCTTGCCCAGGCTGGTCTCGAACCTCTGAGCTCAGGCAATCCTCTCACTTTGGCCTCCCAGAGTCCTGGGATTATAGACTTGAGCCACTGTGCCTTGCCACATTGAGGTTCTTGTTCCTTTTCCCTAATCAAGTGTCACTTCAGAGGCAAACTAGATGGCAAGTGAAGTTCCGCCTTTTATGTTCCATCAGGTGAATTCATCTGCCTGACTCATATTTTCTCCTCTTATATATGTGTTGTAATAATTCTTTTTCTTTTTTTTTTTTTTGATTTATTATGGAGATGAGGTCTCACCAAGTTGTCCAGGCGGGTCTTGAACCCGCGGGCTCAGGCAATCCACTCACCTCAGCCTCCCAAAGCGCGGAGGGTTACAGGCTAAGCCACCGAGCCCGACTGTAATAATTCTTTATGATTTCCTTTTCTAGTATTCATTTAACTTATTTTCTTTATTCTTTATCATTGCCTGCAGATAACTGAATTTATGTACTTTCTTTTTCTCCAGGTATACAGCCAATTGTCTTGCTTTAGTCACCTATATGAATGAAGAGCACAAGTTGTCATTCCTTAAGAAGATTTTTAGTAGTGATGAGTTGATCCATTTCAGGTTGAGGTAAGCAGGAGCGTTCCTGGAAGTTTTGCTGTGGCTCTTCTGTGCTGTAAAGTGATTGACGCCAGTCTTTCCATTAGGTTGTTAGAAGAGGCCCAGTTGCAGGACTTGGAGAAGGCCTTGGTTTTGGCCAATTCAGAAGCCTCCCTTTGGCGTAAGGAGAAGGAACTGCAGTCCTTACAGGGACATCTTGTTTCAGCAGACCTGTCCTCCAGGGTGACAGCTGTCTGTGGCGTGTTGCTTCCCAGGCAGCCACCAGGCCCCGGAGAGCAGGTATGTTGGGATCATTCAGGGTGTGCCCCTCTTTCCTCTGCTAAGCACTGATTGTGCTCTTTTCTTGTCTAGGCTCTATGTACTAGGTGTGAGCCAAGTTGAGCTTGTTTAATTGATACTCCGTTTTTGGAAGTGTTCAGGGAGAATTTTTTTATTTTTTGAGTTGGAGTCTCACTCTCCGTTGCCCATATTGGAGTGCAGCGACACGCTTCCGGCCACCGCAGCCTCGACCTGCTGAGTTCAGGTGATCCTTCTGCCTCAGCCTTCCAAGTAGCTGGAAGTACAGATGCACGCTACCATGACGGGCTAATTTTTTGATTTATTGTAGAGATGAGGTCTCACCAAATTGCCCAGGCTGATCTTGAACCCCTGACCTCAGGCAATCCTCTCGGCTCAGCCTCACAAAGTGCTGATATAACAGGCTTGAGCCACCGTGCCTAACCAGGGAGAAATTTACCTTGAGCCCACCTTTCTGGTATTCCCTTTGTCACTCTTTAATATGAAATTATAAACTACTGGTACTTGTGTGATGCCATTAAGTTCAGCAAAGCTGAAATATATGAAATATTTTTCATATATTTTCTTGTTTGCTCACTTTGAAAACTGTGTGAAGTTGGGTCACACGTGTTGAGTGTGTAATAAGGTAATTCAAAGGCAGAACCACTTGGATGGCCCACTGTGTGGGAGGCCTGTGTTTGTATTGGTCTTCGTCTCTGCCACATGAAACAACCTTATTTCCAAGAATGTGGCTCCAGACCACAGTTGGTCAGACTTACAAATCATAAATCTGGATCCACTGGGAACCAGTCTGTTTTCCCCCAACAGTCATCAGTTAATTGTCACTTTGTCTGATGGTCCAATCCACCCACTTCTCTTTGTGAAATAAATCCTGGGTCTTGTTTTGAACTATCAGTTTGTCTTCAGACAGGAGCATTAAAAAAAAGGATGATACACATGTAGAAAAATATGCATGTCTTAAGTGTGTAGCTCAGCGATTATTGATAAATTGAATGAATCTGTAAATAGTACCAGAAAACCACTACCTCTGAAGCTGTTTCCTTCTAGTCACTTAAGACCCTTCCCTCTTCTCCCTTCCCTCCTCAGCTCTCCCTATCCTGTAACCACTATCCTATCATCATTTAGGGTTGGGGCATTAGAATTTTATTGTATTGTATTTTATGGTATTTATTTTATTTTATTTTTTGAGTTGGCATCTCACTCTGTCACCCAGGCTGGAGCGCAGTGGCATGCATGCTTACGGCCACCCCAGTGTTGACCTGCTGGGCTCAGGCAATCCCTCTGCTTCAGCCTTTCAAGTAGCTGGAACTATAGACATGCGTTACCACGCCCAGCTAATTTTTTGATTTATTGTAGAGATGAGGTCTCACCACGTTGCCCAGGCTGGTTCAAGAGGACTGCCTGAGCCCAGGGGTTCAAGGCTAGCTGAGGCAATTTGGTGAGACCTCAACTCCACAATAAAAGTAAGAAAAATAAGCTGGATGTGGTGGTGCATGCCTATAGTTCAGCAACTTGGAAGGCTGAGGTGGAAGGATTGATTGCCTGAGCCCAGCAGGTCAAGACTGCGGTGGCCATGAGTGTGCCACTGCGCTCCAGCCTGGGTGACAGAGTAAGACTCTGACT